GCGGAGCCAGCAGCATAAATATACACGTACAAAACATTGAAAATTACGTGAATGCGACCACGGGAAGAAATACTTGGTTAAAACGCAATATGACAACCACGTGGCACGCTAAACTTCCCGCCATGGCAAAGCAACACGTGCGTAAACCACAGGAAAGTTAGCGTAAAATATGTAATACAAAGTCACAATTATGAGACAACCGACCGCAAAGCCTTACTGTTCCGTTCATAGGACAAAATAAAGACCATACATACAGGTGGTGGTGTCCCAGACATTATTCTCTTTAACTTTGTTTTAGTGAAGGAGTTCAGCTCTACTCTACACATCCGTTCAGTGGAGTGACAGCAGAAGGAATGATGATACGGGCCTAGGTGCTTACCTGGTTGGCTGCGCATGCGTAGCTGGAGGTAACTCCATGGGGTGGGGGCCGTATAATAGATAAAAAAGATTTTATTTATTGTACACTTTTTATTAAAACATTGATACAACTGTCACAGGGTGCAGAAAATGCATATATAATAGGCGATCTCTAAAAAGATGATGATTTTATTGAATTAAATTACTAAATATTTTTATTAAAAAACATTGATAGTAACTGTTTTGACAGTGACATTTTTTGTACCACATGCCACAGTAAGAAAAAGCAATACCGTGATAATAGAGAGTTGCATCAATTTCTGGGTCAACCGAGGCATTCGGGATTGCCACGATCGTATTAAACGAGTTATGAATATGTGCCACATTATTTGTGACAGAAATGAAGATTAAACATCAGTCAACAGAAAAAGTCAGGTGTTTATAACCGTGATAGCAACAACATTAACTACCGCGATAATAGAGGGTCCCATGATAACTCATTATCATTATGGTCACATGCAGTATAATTAAGCCCGAAAAGGTACTAAACCAATACAGATACCACAGTACAGCTCCAATGATATTTACAGAGTTGTCGGTTTAAATAGCAAATAAAAACTGAAAATTTTAACTATAAATTGTATATTCATAATACCTACCCTGAATACACAGTGCCATTTAGAAAGTGGTCAAATGTAACATGTTATATTTGGGATTACACTTTCTCAGTAAATACAGATTCCAGTACTTTTGTTGGGTTGAGTGTCCCATCCGGGATTTGAACCCAAACCCTCAGAGTCAGGCACCTATTTGCCAGCACACAAAGTGGCTGAGCGGGTTAGCAGGCTGCCTTCGTGTGCTGGCGATTAGAAGCCTGACTCTGAGGGTGTGGGTTCAAATCCTGGATGGGACTCAACCCAACAAAAGTACTGGAATCTGTACTTTATCGAAAAAGTGTAATCCTATCTCACGTCTTGTATTCTCTCTCTTATGATTGACAGTTGAGTGGAAAGGAACTGAAAACAATTTTTTGGCCTCTCTTGACCCCTTCGCCCGAACACATACCTACTGCTCCTGTTCCTGGACAGCCTGGGAGCCTTGGTGAAGCATACAGCCTGTGCTCTGATTGGTCATGTGACCCCTTTGTCTAGTCATTCTCATCTTGGAGCAATAGTCGTAATCTGTGCAGTGTGGTTGGTCTGGCAGGAATCCATCATGTGAGATAGGATAAGCATTATAAAAGGACGATTTATAGTTAACGTTTTCAAAGTTTTAAACTTATCCTATCTCACATCTTGTACTTATCCCACGGTTGGACGTTGGGCTGCACATTACTCTGTGTCTGTAAGTGATGTGATGATGATGATGATGCACAAGGAGGCCTGTTATGAGGTGGCTGAGCAGTCTAGGCATCTGACTTTGTGTAATGGCAATTAGGTGCCTGACTCTGAGGGTGTGGGTTCGAATCCTGGATGGGACTCAACCTAAAAAAAGTACTAGAATCTGTACTTTACTGAGAAAGGTGACCACAGCCCTGCCACTTGTTGATCATGAAGATGAGCTCCCCATCGTTGAAGTGATACATCCATGATTAGGTGATGAGTGGGAGTGAACGGCATCAAGTAAACTCCCTCGCAGACATTCGACTTGTCGAGCCACCAACACAGGTGGTGATGGAGCGAAGGTAGAAGGATTGGAGCTTGGGGATCGGTGATCCTTAGGAACAGCCGGAGAAACCTCTGGATCGGCCATAGTTGTAGTTGACCTCTGGTCATGAGCGCTTGGGCTGACGTCAGTAAGCCTAGCAACTCCTACCACTGCATCAGTGCTAGAGGTACAATGTGTTGAATCTTGCTCTACCAGTCATGGGGAACAAACATTTTCCACAGCCAGGTGTTGAATACAGCCCCATTGAACAGCTGTCATTGAGTTGGGATCAGTTCTGACTTCTTGATGTTGACAATCCACCCTAATTGGTGAAGTTGCTTGTGACAAACTGTAGATGTTGTAATAGATCTGCAGATCCTTCTGGGCTTGTATACAGTCATCAATGTAGGCCTCTAACACAATGCTTCGGCAATACAGAAACTGAGTGATGGGTTTCGTGATGCGGGTAAATAGCCACAGGGCCATAGATATGCAAAATGGAGGACCCTCCATTGATTGTGGATGCCCTGAAAAGGCTAACCACAGGTATTTGCGATGGTTCGGAAAAATTAGGGAAATGTAGTTACGGCGTCTTGAAGGTCGAGACTGATCATAAAGTTCCCTGGCTTGATTATTGTTCAAAGCAGATCATTCTGAAGTGTAGAGGTGGTTGAAGGTGTTGAAGACCATGTTGAATATCAACCAAAGCTTAACCGAATCTTTTTGGGAATGAAGCTTGAGCCGGGGTGTCGAATATCTACCCTGATATCTGCGCTGAAAGGGTAGGTTTGCCAAACTGGGTTGTATGTCAGAGGCGGTGATTCTATGATGGGTAGTTTGTTAGTTTGTGTAGATATGATAAAGGGGTCTTTCAAGATTGTCCAGTTGTGAGCATATACACCAATCCTTCCACCTTCTGGTGAGTTCACGATCAGGACGAACTGGGGACGGAAGGTCCCTGTCATACGATCCTTTCAGACAGTCACTGGTTACCGGCACCAGTTCCTTGAGCTGCGTCCGTCTTATGCCCACCTCTACTGCTGGCTGTGGCTCTGGCTTGTCTCCTGGGTCTGGATTGAAATGAACTTCTATTCCGAAATGAATTCCAGAGATCGGGATTCGTTGGAATATATTGCATCATATGTCTGCATCGAAGCGACTCTTCAAGTTGAAGTTTCAGCAGTTTTAACAATTTGACTGACACCTGGAATTTGTGTATCTCAATCAACCTTTGTTGCTACATCTTGGATGATTCCATTGAAGAGGGAAGGACTCAACCAAGGTTGTCAGAAGAGCTCCGCTTTATAGTGGTTGTCCCTGGAGGAATGACTGGGCAGTCCACGTCTCCTGATAGTCTGGGTTATAAAGGGTCAAGGTGGGAGCTTGATAGTAGAACAGTCTCCTTGCTTCATAGCAAAGGTAGTCAGCAGATCATCCGGAGACTTGCTTTTGGATAGCAGTAAGTTGCCCGCATCCATGCTAGCAATCAGTTCAATACTCCTTTCCAGAGTAGATAGATCCTCCGAAGAACGAAGGAGTATGGTATGTTGACTGGTGAGACCGGCAAACTCGGCGGTTTGTTCTGAGGGCTCTGAGAAGACACTGGTTGCTGAGCTTGTTTAAAACCACCGCCATGGCTCACACCATCATATCGAAGTCCATGTTGGATTGAGCTTGAGTATCACGGGAATGGTCCCAAGAAAATGGTAAGTTTGGCTGCAACAGTCTAGTAGTATCGAAAGAATGAGGGGCGGTGGGGTAGCCTAGTGGTTAAAGCGTTCGCCCGTCACGCCAAAGGCCCGGGTTTGATTCCCCACATGGGTACAATTTGTGAAGCCCATTTCTGGTGTCCCCCGCCGTGATATTGATGGAATATTGCTAAAAACCGTGTAAAAACCATACTCAGTCAGTCAGTCGAAAGAATGAAAAGCACCACCAAAGTGGACAGGTTCAGCAAACCTCAGGACTGAGTTGCAGTGTCTGAATCAAGAGGGATCATAGAGTGTGTTTCGGTGAATGCTCTGTTCTCTGATGAAATTTCATAATCGCTGGTCTGTGGTGCAGCCGAAGATTGGACTGTGATCATCAATGCAGGTTGACCGGAGAACGTAGAACTCGCTGATATCGATAGAGTCACCGATCGTCTAGAGAACTCCGGGAGGATCGCCAATCCAAGAGAGATGGACGCTGTGCAAGGGATTGCCAACTCTCGATGGATTGCTGATCTTTTGGTGATGTCTGTAGAGTTTGCTGAATCATGAGTGGTTGTGTGATTGGTGAACAACCACCACTCTTGAAACAACCAACGGTCTGGTGTATGGTAGGCTACTGGCGGTGTCCGACAGTTGAAAAGTCGCAGAAGGTTCTCACTCAGATAGGAATCTGAGGGTGTGTCCAGGAAGTCGTGTTCAGGAGTGTAAACAGCAACTCTGGGATTTTTTTACCGGAAAGTCCTTCTGGGTCCTCCTGGACGCCGTAGGACCCGATTCTTCAGATTTTTTCCTATGCCTGTCAACCAAACATCTTGTGCTAACCTTCCATTAGTTGGCAAAATCGTCGTCCTTAAGGTTGACACAGTAACCTAGTAGTCCATGCGCATAGTCCGGTACAATCTATACACGAGGTGTGCGGATCCGAGCTAGAAAAGTTCTTTCTATATTTGCCACAAACTCTTCTTTTCCTGGATGTTTTATCTTCTTTCCCCATGTTGACTCCCACAAACTAAGCATCAGCAAAAGTACAAAATGTGAGTACAAGATGTGAGATAGTATAAGTTAACAAATGTGTTGTTTGTGCTGTTCAGTATATATTCCTATATTAGTTTGTTGCATTTGTATGTTCTTAAATACAGAAAGAGGATCTGGTATTGGTCCAACTCTAACATGTCTAAGGCAGGTAGAGGAGTTGTGAATGTACTTTCTTGGGATGAAGAGGAACACCTCCACCTCACCCTTAATTCTCACATACATTACACACATAGACAGATTTGAACTTACTTGACATAGAAGATGCCATATTCTTTGGACTCTATCCTCTCCCATCCTGATGGGAGGTTTTCCTTCTCTAAGGGATGGCTCCAGTGGGTGGTCTGAGTGTTGTGGTCAATGTAAAACTTGAGCCCCCTCACTGTCCAGTCTTCTGACCAGCCGACTGGCAGGGGCATCTCCTCTGAACCATATCCAGCTGAAGACATTCAAGTATTCACTGATAACTGTGACTTAACGTCAATCAAACATTTAAAGAATGGAAAATGTGTTTCTGACTCTCAGATAGATTGAGAATGTTAAAGTCCTCCATGATAATCACTGAACATGACATTGGACATATTTGAATTTGGAATGGTAATAACTAAAACTTAACTATCACAAAGAAAGTTCATTGCAATACTTACCATCTGTGACTACATGAATACTGCTTTGTTTAAGGAATGATATAATGACAAAATCTTGTTTTCACATTTGATATAAGTCTTGTTAAACAAACTTTGTGCTATGATTTTATGCTTTAACAGCAGGTTAATGTGGGAAGAGAGCTTGTAGTGGTGCAGGCCTTTGATGTATACCTCTTTGGTGAACCTTACCTAACAACACTGACAAACCTAACCACATAAGGATAGCCAGGATTGGTATTCCGACATGACAGGTCTCAGTCATGTTTAGGGGACACAGCTCTGCATGACCTATATTGCATTAGACAACTGAGCCACCTTTGTTCCATGGCAATAAGAGTGTATGTGGTAGGATCTGCAAGGTCATATGCAACTTCAAACTGTCAAGGTAATGCTGCTGCAGAAACTGACAATGACATTACCACAGTTTACAAAACTTGTCTGCTGACCTTGAGCTATATCTAATCTTGACAGAAACATTTTCCAAAGACAGCCCTGTCCTAGAGAAGGTACATGTTTCATCAAAATGTATTAATACCTTTTGAGGAAAGAAAAACTAAGAAAATAGTTTGTGGCTACTCTATCTTGTGACCTTGACATTTTCATGACATGTCCCAAATGAATATCTCATGAACATTTGGAAGAAGATCATTTTAGATTAATCAGTAATATCAATACCCTTTTGCATTATAGACATTAACAAGAAGGCAAAGTAATCAATATACCCTGCAATGGTAAAATCCTCTACATGAATATGTCAACTAGTTATGACTATGTCAAAGGTACACTTTGATGTACATCAGTAATGTTGATACTGGAAATATAGTGGTAAGGTTGATTTGTCATTAGGGTCTTGGATACCCACAAAGTGGAAAGAGAGTATTGAAAGGTTTGCTCTGGAAAAGAGCACCAACACCAATTTCAGTCAAAGCAAATCTTGTTGCCATGGAAATGCAAAAACTTGAAAATTTTAATAAAAATTGTATATTTATATACTTATCCTATCTAACGACTTGCACCTCTCTTCTTGCTTTGACATTAGAGTGGAACGACTGTAAAACTTTCTCCTTAGGCCTCTCTTGTCCCATCACCTGTGCACTGGCGTAGGCCGAGCCACAATTTACAAGGTACCCCTGTAATTAAAGTCTTGTGATTAGAATTGGGCCAGCCACTGCTTCGAGAATGGTACCCCTGAAACCAACCGAGGCGGGTGAAAGAGAAGCACAACTTAGCAACTCCAAGTTTTAACGTTCAGTTCCGGGACAGCATCAAACTGACCCTCACTCTTTTGCATAAGCCTAGTCAAAGGATGTGCCCTGGCAACTTTAAGAGGCAGAAAGCAATAAAAGCCACTGGAATTCAGGAGTGTCACACTTCACTGACGTAATTGCTCCGTGTAGAGGACAGTAAGCGTGAATGTCGAACACTTCTGCATCGTCATTCTGATTGTGCCTCAGGTCCGTAGGGCCACGCTTAGTGGCTGTATTCCGATGCCTTGGTATGGAAGCCAAGTGAAATAGTTCTTCAACCCATAAGATGAGAACAAAAGATTGAGATCCAGTTCAACTTCTGTTACGTATAAAAGGAAGCAGTAACACGCAAGCGGAACCGTCCCTAAACTGCGTTGGTTGGCCGATGTAAGCTGCTTAGCCAGTCTGAACTAGTGTAGTCCCAGGACATACGTGACAGACAGGTAATGTAAAGAGGAAACTGTATCAGAACCCCAGAAGCAACTTTCCATGATAGCGGTCAACGAGCAGTTGCTGTGGAGGGCCATCGCTGAGGCTAGTGCCCGAGTCTCATGAGGATTGGAGGTGGCTAAAGGAGGCAACCCTGGCAAAGGTGTAGGCTCGCAGGATCATCAAGTAATCTAGATGTCTGCGCTACTAACATAGCTACTACCTCTGTTCAACTAGTAGAAAAAGGGCACCAGGTGGGATAAGTCATGTGACTAAAATCTTCTAGCGCCTCACATGCCCTAGGGTAATCCGGAGAACCAAGTCAGATTGTCATGCTTATAGCATGTCACTCCATGGTGAGGAATTCAGCGTATCACAAATGCCCTGAATATGAACATCGTGTTGAAAGCTGGTATAGTTCGGTAAAACTGACCGTATCTAGATGCAAGTTCATAATCCTCGATGAGGATGTAAAACCAGTGTTGACAAGTGCCGATCCTTCATGTTGAATGTAGTAAGTAGATCATCTGGTATCTTGCTCTAGACAGCTGTAGGTGGTCAGTGAACCAAGTGATCATGTGTGTCGAATCAACCAAAACTATTCCTGCATCTCAAAGGCAGCTGTTGTCCGAACGTCTGCGTGGGTACAGATTTGCCGAACCTCAAGAAGCGTTCTGCAGATGCGCCGTGTTGGAAGTAACACAATGTGACAGAGAGGAATCACCAAATCGAACTGATTTGGTGAATAAGGAGAGTTGGTAGGCAAGGTCCGAGGAATGCATGGTTCGGCGAACGCTGGCGGATTGGCGAATGCTGGCAGATCTGCAATCTGGTACAGTTCTGTGACCGGCATCAGTTCAGTGATGTGGTTGGTTCGATGATCTGGATCGGTCTGGTGATCTGGACTGGTACTGTGATGCAGTTCGAGAGTGTGATCCTGATCGTCTGTGTCATCCGGTTTGACTACGTGAGCCGGTTCGGCCCCGTGATCCAGTTTGGTCACGTGATCCGGTATGGCCATGTGATCCGGTTCAGTCATGTGATCCGGTTCGGTGGTGAGAGCCGATTTGGTGGGGTGAGCCCATTTGGTGGGGTGAGCTGGTTCGGGGTTCGGTATTTCTGTCTGGTTCGGTGAACTGGATCATACCGTGATCTAAGTTGAAGTGGTGAGCTGAATCGCAAACGTGATCTGGATCCATCCGATTATCTGGATTGGCGTATTGATCTGGATCAGGATTGTGATCTGGAACGGTTCGGTGATGTGAGAGCGACCTGGTGATCTGGACAGAAGTGGTAAGCTGGAACGCTCAGGTAATCCGGATCGAAGTTGGCGATATAGATTGGGGTGGTGATCCGGCTGGACAAGGTGTGAATCGCTATGTGCTGGACAAGGTGATCTGAAATGGTGATCTGGATGATGAAAATGCAGTCGATGCATCAGGCAGCGTTAAATTGTCAATCACTAACCCTAAAGTGAACTGGACGACGTGAAGGAGGTGACGATCCCCAGATAGGTGGCTAACGTCCCCAGATAGTAAGGAATCTGAGGATGCGTTCATAAAATCCTCCTTGTCTAACAACTCCGCTCTCTAGTGGATCTCGTTGGATCTTGATACGCTTGGCGGTAATGGAATTGGATTCTGTGGTTTCCCTGTCTCTATCAGTGAAACTCTGTGAATAGACAAGATGGTTGGCCTTAAAATCATCATCTTCAAGTGAATTGCACTTGACACATCGTTTACCCCAGTCACACTGTCCGATACAGTCACTGCAAGACGAATGAGGATCGAGGAACCAGAAATTGTCTTGCATTGCGCACAAAACTTCCTTTCTCTTGACTGATTATCTGTTTCCCCATGATGTTAGGGTGAAAAAATGTCCCTTATAATACAGCACGTCCACACTGTCGTGCAACAAGAAAGAGAATGATTGTTCAGAGATAGTCACATGGGTACGTAGTAGAGCATGCTGCATGTTCCAGTTGGGGGTTTGGTAAGTTGCCCAGCTGGGAGCAGCAGCATGGAGTGAACGGGCGATGGGACAAGAGGGGCCTAAGGAGAAAGTTTTACAGTCGTTCTAGTCGAGTGTCGAAGCAAGAAGAGAGGTGCAAGTTGTGAGATAGGATAAGTCCAAAAACTTATTTAATTCAGAAATCCACCAGACCTATCTATGTGCCAGCTTTGGTGAAGAAACATTAAACGTTTTTTAAGTTCTGCTCCGGTAAAGGGCACAACACCAATTTCAGTCGAAGTCAAACTTGTTGCCATGGAAACACAAAATATCGTTTATTCAGAAATCCCAAACTATCAAAAGGCACCAGTTCACCACCAGACCTATCTATGTACCAAGTTTGGTGAAGAAATATTGAACGGTTTTAAAGTTCTGCTCAAGAAAAGACAAATTTGAAAATTTTAACTATAAATTGTATATTTATATACTTATCCTATCTCACGACTTGCACCTCTCTCTCTTCATTCGACCATGAGTGGAAACGAATTAAAACTTTGCTCCAAGGCCTACCTTGCCCCTCTCTCCCGTGCAATGCGTGCCTTCTGTGTCAGTCGTGCTCACTAGTCCATGACAGCATGAGGCATGCGCAGTCCTCACCCACGTGATCACCTCACATACTCATTCTCGATCTTGGAGCCATAAAAGGACAAAACCGAACGGTGGTAATCTATGTAGTGGGGAGGTAGGGAGGGACTTTATCGCGCGAGATAGGATAAGTATATAATATACAATTTATAGTTAAAATTTTCAAATTTTTAAACTTATCCTATCTCACAACTTGCACTTATCCCACGGTAGGAAGGTGGGTCATAGATTACCCAAATTCAAGCGATAACAGCTAAGTGTTATGCCCAAACAACCGTAGGGAAGCAACTACAAGGTAGGCCAATAACTACCAAGTTACTACGCGCGAGGGTTAGTTCGAACCCATTGACTTACTAAGTACAATTGTCCCAGGGACCGGATTCCCGAGCAATGTGGTGTTCAGTCACTACCTTCACAAAGTGAAAGGACGAGCTTAACGAAAGTGTAATCAGTCGCATCGCCACGATTTCCAAGGTACCCCTCGAATAAAAGTCTAACGACTAGTATCGGGCCAGCCCCTG